GAGGGAGGGGAATAAGAAGAGGGGAGATAAGAAAAAGAGGGGGTAAGAAGAAGAAGGGGTGAGTAAGAAAAAGATGGGGGAGTAAGAAGAAGAAGAGGAGGGAGTAAGAAAAAGAGGGGGGAGTAAGAAGAGGGAGAGGTGGAATAAGAAAAGGGGGAGGGTGGAGTAAGAAGGAGGGGAGGGCGGAGGAAGAAGGAGGGGAGATAAGAAAGAGGGGGGTAAGAAGAAGAAGAAGGGGTGAGTAAGAAAAAGAGTGGGGAGTAAGAAGAAGAAGAAGAGTGGGGGTAAGAAGAAGAAGAGGGGGTAAGAAGAAGGGGGAGTAAGAAGAAGAGGGGGAGTAAGAAGAAGAAGGGGGAGGAAGAGGAAGAAGAAGAAGGGGGTAAGAAGAAGGGGGGTAAGAAGAACAGGTGGGGGAGTAAGAAGAACAGGTGGGGGAGTAAGAAGAACAGGTGGGGGAGTAAGACGACCAAGGGGGGAAGTATGAAGAACACAGGGAGGAGGGGGGTAAGACGAACACAGGGGGTGTGAGGAGAACACATAGAGGGAGGAGGGAGAAGAACACAGGGAGGGTGGAGGGGGGATGAGAAGAGCACAGGGAGGGTGGGTGAGTGTGAGAAGAGACCGCTAGGGGAGGGTGGGGGAGAGGAGAGACCACTAAAGGTGCAGGGGAGAGCTCTACGGGACAGAAGGGGCAGCTCTATAGGACAGGGGCCAAGACAGGGAGCTCTTTCACACTACGCGCGTGCACACACACACAATGCATCCCTATACATACACAGAAACACAACATGCTTCCTTTACACACAGAGAAACACACAATGCATCCATTACACACACACACAATGCAACCCTTACACACAAAGACAATGCATCCTTTGCACACATACACAGAAACAGACAATGCAAACCCGTACACACACATGCAAACACACACACTTCTTTTCTTACATACACACAGAAACACAATGCATCTCTTACACTCAATGCACACACATACAGACACACACTTTGCATCCCTTGTGCATACAAACACAGATTCACACAATGCATCCCTTACACACAACCAGAAACACATAATACATCCCTTATACACAAATACACACTGCTTCCACTACACACAAACACACTACATCACCTGCACAAACTGGTAACCCTATACAATACATACCATAAGCACACATATTAGATCCTCTACAATAACACATAACACATCCCCTACACACTCCACTCCCTGTGAGCGAACTCATGGGTGGGTGGAATTTATGAGTGGGCCTTATGGGCATACTTACCGTCAGGCCCTGGGGCCCAGACCTTGAGCTGTGTAAGGGGCCCCAAAAAATGGAGCTGCTTCCAATTCTCCCAGAACATTGAATTTTGTGACCACAGTTGCAAACAGCCTCCAGAGATCCTGTTCTACACCAGACCAGTGGAGCCAAACTGCAGCCCATCATCATCCTCATCTGCTTGGAAGTAGGCAATCTAGTATATTATTAGTGACACTAATCTATAATGTACCTCACATTAAAGGGACACTATAGCTTAATGAAGTGGTTCTGGTGTCTATAGCTGGTCCCTGCAGGCTTTTTAATGTAAACACACACTGTGTGCAGCACTGGCGTTAGTTCATATGGGTGGGGTATTGTGATGTTACATGGGGGGGCAGCAAATTTTTATTTTGTCTAGGGCGGCAAAAATCCTTGCACCGGCTCTGATCCTGGGCAGGTGCACCAGTCTACTGGTGAACCACAGGAGGGGAGTGCACTGATTGCACTGCACTCTCCTCCTGTCCAGCCCCATCTTTACCGCAGTGCAAGTGCCCTCTGCCCCTAATTTACAGTGGCTCACACTCACAACAAGCAGTGCCTGGAGCCGTGAAGGAGCGGGTATGGCAAAGGGCTACTGATTAGCATAACATCAATATCCGTTATAAAACCAGGAAAAGGTGGGCATGGATGGTGAACTGATTTGGTGGTGCAATGGGCCACTTGACTGGTTTTGCCCTCCAGGCCTAAGGCTGCCAGCCCTCCCCTGGATATTACCGTGGCATGATCTATGCACAATAACTACTTCATTAAGTTAAAATTGTTCTGATGATTAGTGTTTCTTTAAGCACTCTCTAATTTATCATTCTGCTTTTGTTCTATTTTGGTTTGCAATGAATTTGTCACAGAATTTGTAAATCATTATTTGGGAAAAGCTAAATGAGAAGATGAGACAACTAATTCAATCATTCTTCTCCAGTCCAAGATTCATGGTTACCACAATTTTAGTGTCCTAAAAAGTGGCATTAAAATGCCATAATTATTTTGAGCGTACTTATAAAAGCAAACCTAAATAGTAACAGTTTTGTTCATAGTAAATTGTGCCAGTTTTAGCAGAAATTCACATTTTAGAAGACCTCCAAATTTGTAGTGGCACTTTTCCTTTGGAAAAAACGGCAGAAATATAAATTAATATGTTATGTTACCAATAAAATTATGGTTAGGGCGTAAGAAATGCAACAGATGAAAAAAATCCAATTTAATAAAACTGTGCCAGGATTTCACAAAAACATTATGTGGAAAATTGTTGTTGACACTTTGATAAATCTCCCCCGTTAATTCAGAGCATTACTAATACTTCTGTTCCAAGTTTTCTAAATGCATAATGTAAGCAAATGTACATGGAGAAATGCAGCTCTGTACACCATCAAAATAAAAATTAGACAACATTATGGGTATATGTGTAGAAACATTTTTTTATTTTACAATATATTTTAATGAATGAAGGAACAAAGCTTGTATTTATTTGAAGATATTTGAAGATATGCAATTATGTTGTGAGACTAGAGAGAGTTCTATGGTTGTATTTGCATCCATAAAGCATTCACAAAGGGAGTGCAGACATTCGTAGAATAAATTGTTACATTTTGGAAAGAGCTGTACACATGGACTATGTTTATCCTGACTTTAACCATTGGTTTCTCTGAAGATCCTTGGTCTCATTATGGTTAGAAAAATGCTGGACTGGGTGTTCAGCCAGCACGACCTTGCCTGGTTGGATGATATCCTGCCCGAAAAGGAGAAGAAGAAAGAGGACGACAAGTCAAAGAAGAAAAAAGGCAAAGATGAAGCAGAGAGTGATGAGGTGAACTTTAACAGAGGTTCTAGGCAAATAAATGATTCTATACAGAAATAATAGTGGGTTCAGTTCCATATTGATTGTAATAAATATTAAAGGGTCACTATAGTCACCAGAACAAGTACAGCTTATTGAATTTGTTCTGGAGAGTAGAATCATTACCTTCAGGCTTTTTCTATAAACACTGTCTTTTCAGAGAAAATGCAGTGTTTACATTACAGCCTAGTGATAACTTCACTGGCCACTCCTCAGATAGCTGTTAGAGATCCTTCCTGGGTCATGGCTGCCTAAAATGCATCCAAACATTCAGTATCTCCTCCCTCTGCATGCAGACACTGAACTTTCCTCATAGAAATTCATTGATTCAATTCATCTCTATGAGGAGATGCTGATTGGCCAGGGCTGTGTTTGAATCATGCTGGCTCTGCCCCTGATCTGCCTCTTTGTCAGTCTCAGCCAATCCTATGGGGAAGCATTGTCAGCAGACTGCTTGTTTTTCTGAGACAAACAGCATGCAGAGCTACAGCTTCAGGCTTGCATACAGTAAGATTTTGCTATATTTATGCAGGCATGAGGGGCTCAGGGGGCTAGATGGTGGTTTTAACACTATAGGGGCAGGAATACATGTTTGTATTAAAGGGACACTATAGTCACCAGAACAACTACAGCTTAATGTAGTTGTTCTGGTGAGCAGTGGCCTACTAATAGGGGGAGGGGTGGGCGCCCGGGTTCCACTCGTTCGGGAGGTGCCATCCACCCTCTTAGCGAGAGCTACGGCTGAGCAGCAGGAGGAGGAATGCGGAGGTGCACAGAGACATGCAATGCCGTGCTGTCAACATTTGAAATGGAGAGGGGGTACTGGGCAGTAATTTTTGTAGAGGGGGGACTGGGCAGGGATTTTTGTAGGGGGAGGGGCAGGTTTTTTTGTGTAGGATGGCAGGGGATTTTTAGAAGGGGGACTGGGCAAGGGTTTTGTAGAAGGAGACTGGGCAGGGGGGTTTGTAAAGAGGGGACTGGGCAGAGTTTTTTGTAGAGGGGGTTGCAGGGTTTTTGTAGAAGGGGGATGGCAGGGGTTTTGTAGAAGGGGGGGTTTGTAGAGGGGGCTGCAGAGTTTTTTGTAGAGGAGCCAGGTGTTTTGTAGAAGGGGGGGCGGGCAGGGTGTTGTAGCAGACAATAAAAAAAAAAAAGAAAACATTTTTAAAAAAATTAGTATGTGTTTTAACATTTCAATTGTGGTGGAGGATGCCAAACTCAGAATTCACCCCGGGTACCAAAAGCTCTAGGTACGTCCCTTCTGGTGAGCATAGTCAGTCCCTGTGTTTACATTACTGCCTAGTTACACCTCCACTGGAAGTCACTCAGACGCGCTGCATGGAGGCACTGAACTTTCCCTATAGATATGCCTTGAGTCAATGCATCTCTATGAGGAGATTCTGATTGGTCCAGAGTAACATTTTGCTGCACTTCTGCATTAGCCTCCCAATGCTTTCCTATGGGAAAGCATTGGATTGGCTGAGATCGTCAATTTTGATGATCTCAGCCAAACAGGTGGAGTGTGGGTGGAGCTAGCACCAGCAGTCTTGTGCGGTTCTGGAAAAGGGAATGTTTTATACATTTTTAAGGGGGGTTAATGGCAGAGCTGGGGACTTAATCTGTTTTTTTTACTTTATAGTTAAGAAATACATGTTTGTGTTCCTGACTCTATAGTGTTCCTTTAAACAAATTGCAACTAAACAGGAGAGGTGGGTTTGTTTTGCACTGTATAGCGTTGGCACTAAGAAATGTGTCACGAATCTGCTCAACATATGTTACTTTTTGTCAACTTCTGATGCAAATAATTCTCACTTCTAATGTAGGAAAGAGCTAGCCATCCTGGGGCATTAAATTCAGATTCCTCTGCCAATGGCTCTGATGTGGATCGAAGGTGAGTGGACCTATCCCTTATAATGGACCTATCCTTGTTTTACTATTGGACAATCAATGCAATTTAAAGAAATAAAAAGTATGATTATATTTTAATGTGATGCACTATATAGACAGCTGTGTCCTTTCAACATACACTCAAAAAGGTATTCTTGCTCAAAGAAGGTGCCTTCTTTTTCTTCTCCCGTTTATGTACTGTTATCACTACGTGACTCTCCACTACCCTCTCACCGTTAGTTTCCCCTCTCAGTACATTCTCCCATATCTTTGGGTTTAAAATTAACCTTGATAAATCCAGGGCTATGTCCCTATACCTTATGAGTGATACATGACCAAGCCAAATATGCCAAAACATTGTAGTAGCTGGTAGCACCCTACCATGTCACAGTAAAGTTCTAATTACTGGCACTTATCTTAGTGTGTGTCTATCCTATTTTGATAAACTGGGTGCTTGGCATTACTCCTATAGATTGCTGCTTTGCTAGATGTCCCTACTTAAGAACAGTGTCATTCTATATCTCTATACTGTCCTCATATGAACAAGGAATTATATGAAAAATAAGTACACCTGTGCAGTAATCAGAAATCCTATTACTGCTTTTACTATCACACTAAGGTAGCTTTACATTCTACTAACCTCATAACTCAGCAGTCTGCTTGTTAATAATGACTCTTTGATCTAATGCCACATTTTAAAAGCTATACAAGATTTAAAACCACAGTGTACATTTCTTCTGGGTTTTCCAATATTGCACATAGTATTTCTGAGAAACAAAAGATTCATGTGGGAAACAAGATTATGAAATACTAAAAGGGAAGTTTCAAAAAGTGCTACTTTAGATCACTTTTAGCAGTTCTGTAAAATAGTTTTCTATCTTAAAGGGACACTATAGGCACCCAGACTAAGGCAGCTAATTGAAGTAGTCTGGGTGCTGTGACCCTTTTGCACTTAGTGCTGCAATGTAAAACATTGCAGTTCCAGAAAACTGCAATGTTTACATTGCAGCTCTAAGTCTGCCCTCAGTGGCTGTCTACCAGACAGCCACTGGGGGCACTTCCGGAATCTAAATGGACTTTTGGTCCTTTACCCGTTATCGTCACGGATCTCCAGTGTCTCTAGCTTTTCCCCAAAGGAATGCATTGAATAATGCTTTCCTATATGGTGGTCTAATGCGCGTGTGCTGCCATTGCCGCGCATGCGCATCAGGTCTCCCCCGCAAGCTAACGTTGGCGGGGGAGGAGCATGGGCAGAGCCCACGGCTTTGTTTTCCTGGCAATGGAGAATCCCTATAATTACCAAACAGCTCAGAAATTTAGGACAAAATAGCAGAGCGACAAGAGGAATTAGTTCAGAAAATATTTCAACTCCTTTTTTAGGCCGTAACTGTAAACCGCGTTGAATTTACAACGTAAAAGTTACGTGTATAAATACTGATCACAAGTAAAGTTTAGGCATAAGTCAATGATGTATTTCTTATTTTTATGCTCTGAATGTGCTTTATTATGTAGCATCACACATGTGTTTCCTTCCCTTTACAGTATTACACTGCATTTGAAGATATCTTGCCCCTCGTCCCCTGCCATCAGCTATCCTAGGAGTGCCATCGGTGCGGTCCCACAGGTCAAAATCGAGATGGATTCAGAGTATGACGACTCAGATATAGAGAGAAATCCTAGAGACAGGGGAAGTGAAACCACTTTATAACCTCTGCCCTGTTGTCATCAATCAATACTAAAATCTGTCCACTGGAAACTATACAAGATTGGATGGATTTCAGATAAGGCGATGCAAGAAGGTGCCTAGAGTATCTATAAATTTAGGGGTGGGTGACTACCAAATGCATGACTAAAAGACAATTTAAACAAGTTACTAATGAATTAATAATGTTTGGTAAATGTGCACAGGACAACCACATTAAAACCCACACTACTCCATTCTACACGAGCGGGTGAGGTGCTTCCTGGAATGTAAGCAGCGAATCAGTAACTCCAAACGATGTGCTAATATAACTACAGTAATTTTTACATGTAGAGCAGACCATTGCTCACAAACAGTTCAAAGATGGGGGAGAGGGTCAGCACAGGCAGAAACCAGTTGCATGCTACACTGACCTAACCAAGTTAATTTATGTTTCTTCAGAGCTTGTATATGTTTTCAGAACAGTAGGTATGCTCAAACCCAGACATGAGAACTTACAGGATGCTAGAGCTTCGGCAAGGCTGGTGTATAGTGGTGGTACAATCGCCATATTTTTGTAAATTTGTAAGTTAATGGAACTTATGTGATCTTAGGGCAAAATTAACCATAATCACAGCAATTTCTGATGATTAATTCAATGTTATAATTCATTTTTTTTATTGCATACTACAATATAGCACTTTCAATCCCAGTAAGTGAAGAATTCACAAGTGCCCAACAAAAACATGGTGGTCAGGGAACCATAGGTGTTGACATAAGTAGGAAGGCCCCAAACCCAAAGTGAAGCAAAACAAACTAAAAAGTTTAAAAGATTCCCAGGCACAAATATAAGTGTATCATTTTCTTAAGTGAAAGTGAATACAATAGTGAAACAACTATCTGCCAATCAGCTACAGAATATTCAAGGTTTTTCACTAAAGTGAAAACTCTAAGTGAATTTAAAATGTAAGGCCAAATTAAACTAACTGAAAGCAGAGATTAGATATTTTTTTTCTAGTTTGGCTATGTTGGCCTTAAATATGAAATTCACTCTAAAATCATGACAAAGCCTACTACATGTATAGATTCCTGTTCAGGTCCAGTTACAAAATTACATTTTATATATTTACGCAACATTTTTTATTTTTTTTATTTTACATTTCATTCATTCATCCATCCATCCTTTACAGAAATATTGGAAGTATTGGAGTCTATATGGCATGCCTTATCATGTGACTTTTCAAACAAGGTTTTTGTTGCATGGTGTAAGCGGAATTTGCAAAGACCCCCGATGGTGACATCACCGCTGGGGGTCCGGTTGCCGCCGGGGGGACTGGCAAAGATGAGTTCTACTTATCTGAACCTGCCCCTCAGGGGCACTGCCATCTTCTTCCAGAGTGTCCTCTTCAGCTTCTTGCGCTTCACTGCCAGAAGCTGACATAACTGCTGTATTATCATGCATGCGGTAGCTTCGCCAAGTGTCTAGAAGTTTCTGCAGACTGCAGGACTGAGAGAGGCAAGGCAATGGAGTAAAGATAAATACAACTTTTATTTCACACAGCGGAGGGGGGCAGTAATTTAAATAACTAGTATGACACTGTAGCATTAGGCATGCATGTTTCCTTTAATAATCAGCTGTATGGACTAATGGAAGCTCCTGTTGCTGTTTAATGGTGTGAATTAAGTGTCACTTTATATAACATTTTATAAGCTTCGAGTGAGATTATGTAGAAGTTCAAGCTACCTCAACTGTAACCAGCTAAAAGGATAGCTATTCTCAATCATTATATTGCTAATGCACATCTTTTTGAAAATGTAAACTGTATACAGACTGGAGGCAATACAAAATCTATACAGGTAATTCCTGACATACTGGAGGTACAATGCACATTTAAAGGACCACTCCAAGCACCATAACCACAACACACTTCTGTAGTGATTATGGTATCAGGAGTGCCATGTGTCTCCCAAGATATTATTATTATTGCCATTTATATAGTGTCAACAGATTCCGTAGCGCTTTAATAGGAGGGATTTAATTGTAAATAGGACAATTACAAGAAATCTTACAGGAACAATAGGCTGAAGAGGACCCTGCTCAGACGAGCCTAAAGTCTATAGAATATGTAGTCAAAGCATTCACAAATGCTGCTTAACAACTCACCTGGGGTCCACCAAGCAACGGTCACCTTCTCCTGTGCCTCAGGTCAGCTCCTGCCTTGAGCGAAGCTGGCCAATTCAGGGCTTAGCTCATTGACGGAGAAAACTTGGCTCATGCCGTCAGCCATTGAGTTGCCCCTGAACAACAGGGCTTAGCACAGTGGAGCTTACAGAAGCTCTTTAACTCTGACTATACAGTAGGAGGCAACTGATACCACAAATGTGCCACCATCTTAAACGTTTAACAGCCCACACTGTATTTGGAATAACTTTTTTTATATATATATATATAAAAAAAAAATGTTATTCCAAATACAGTCCATATATATTCCATATATATATACACACACACACACACACACACACAGAGGTTCTATGTTTAGTAGTTGATTAAAAGACCCTCTTATTTCTACAGTGGAGTAGACCTCTGCTACACTGAGCCACCCACTCCCATCAATACTCAACACCATGCCACCTGCAAGCTCCAAACATTTGCCACTTTCCTCACTCACCATTGTGGAGGGTTCCTATGTGAGCATTCCTCACCAAACATACTCCACGCCTTACTAAAGTAAGCTACCACTCTCTCAGGGGTACATGTAAGATAAACAAGTCATTCATCTCTCTATGTAATGTCCAATATATAGGAAGCAAAAACAGTCTAAAAATTAAAATCTTACAAGAAAACACAAATTGTACTGGAAAATTTACTATATCTTATAAACTGAAACATATTTAATTACCTTCTTGCAACCTTCACGTGTGGTAAAGGTGGAATGAATAAGTTGTTGTAAATGTATTACACAGGTTTAAAAGAAGCAAAAAAAAAAAAAAAAGACCCACTTTACACACTCCTCATGCTTTAAGGAATATTGTAAATTTTTCTGTTCTATAAATGTTAATATATTTTACAGAATAAAAATGTCATTCTCGTCCTATGGTTGTCGAACTCTTGCCCTTGAATTTTGTTTTGAGTGTACAATGTGGTGGAGAAACAATGGCTCTGATGGTCTAACAATTTTCTGTTGTGGTACTTGTTTATGGCTTGCTTTTGCAAATGCACACTCATACATGGTAAAGTTTTATCAGTGAAAATGTTAAAGGGTCACTCTAAGCACCATAATCATTTCATCTTAAGTATTTTTGGTACAAAGACTGTTAATGCAGCCTCTCTTTATAAGAAAACCTTTTTTCTCTCCTCTTGTGTAGTGTCGCCTCTATTGACTGCTCTTCTTGGCTGATTATGTGATTTTTCTGAGACTTTTGCATTTGGTTTTGGCACATGTAGCATGCCAACACCAGATGCCTCTTGATAGGCTGCCCATAGCAAGGTTGGTTATACACACACACACACACTGTCAAAGATCCTCCTGCCCAGCTCTGCCAGTTTAATTCTAAAATATAAGTCCAACGTCTAGCGGTCACATAACAAAACCCGCACTGTCGAGTGCTAGAGATTGCATATCTATACGAAAAGTCATGTGATGCTAAAGTATGCCTTTATTTTATTTTTTTTAAATAGGATTCCTTAAAGGACAACTTTCAGCACAAAACAACTTTAGTATAATCTCTTCATCACATTGTGAAAGGATCCTTCAGCCATATATACATGCACCTTGGGTCAGACTGTGCTTGAAAATGGACTGCCTCTATAATACAACCAGCTTCACTCTAGGCACAGAAGCACTGAAACTAGAGAGACAAAGTCTCTTCTCTGAGACACGGAGATTGAAACCTCTATTTCCTCTGACATACATATACACACACAAGAATATCTACAAGAAAGAGAAAAACTAAAATAGTGTAATAAGGTCAGGTGGGAGCTTAAAGGCTATTCAATGTTGCACTCACAAGAGATTAAATAATAGAAGGCCTTAAGCTTCTCCAACATTGGAGGAGCTTATGGCCTTATATCATATACTTGTGTGAATATGTATGTCAGAGGAAATAGAGGTTTCAATTTCCGCGTCTCAGAGAAGAGACGTTGTCTCTATAGTTTCAGTGCTTCTGTGCCTAGAGTGAAGCTGGGAGTATTATAGAGACAGTGTATATGTTTTAAGATCTAGAGGAATCTTAGATTTATCTACATTTAAAGCAAAGAGTAGTTTTATTGTTTCTTACCCCTTCTGTTTTTCCTTTCACTGGTGGTGCTGTATTGTGTGGTAGTTTTGTATATACATATCTTGTTTTCCTCTGACATACAGTCTTAATTCTATCTGTTTAATAATGTTGGATAAGCTTTCCAAATTATGCAATATTATGCAAACTCTTCAAAATATTAACATTTCAAAACAAATGCAAAAATAAAATACTAAATATTTTTTATAATGTGAAATCTTTTTAAAAGTTTATCCAAAAATATGAAATCATTTGGAAAGCTTATCAGTATTAAATGAAGGCCATAATTTTTTCTGAGGTTTCTAAGATAACCTGGAATGCCTATATGTCTGCTTTTCGACGTAGGTTGATATTGCAGGCCACAGAAAGCACCAGAGGAGCAAGACCGTAGCAGACCTCTGGAAATGTCTCATAGGTTTAAATGATTCCTCCACATTGTGTTAGCTCGTGGAAACTAGAGGGCAATTCATTTTCCTAAGCAGGACATACAGGCAGATAAATGGATGGAACAAATACTTTTACATATGGGACCTTCAAGGGCTGCCCCTGGTTTCTTCTGCCTGTTTGATTCAGGGTAACCTGGATATTAGCGTGGTGGATGTTGGGAAAGAAACACTAGCTGAGCCTTTTTGTTGATGACATCTTTCTATCCTTTGCTTCCCTGTGACATTCATCACCAACCTACATGCAACTGAACAACAGTAAGAGCATTTGCTAGAAGCTGCTTTTGATAGGAGTCACACAGGGAGCTGTATTGGTGCAGTAAACTACTGAATGAACCTCTGTGCCGCACAATTAGTGCTTTGTCCTGCACAATTGAGTGCATTTATGTTTTCATACTATTATCATGCAATAAATGTCAATTCATTATTTGAGGCTCCTGTGTGCGCTTAACTTGTGTGAAGATCTCTTTTGGAATCTCACTTTCTCATATTACTATAGCCCTCCTCAATGTACATTGAAATGGGAGCATAATTTGTCTGGTCCAACTGATTAAGTAATACTGGTTTGATATTTGAGAACACTGACATTGTCATGTATTTTAATTAAACAAAACTGCTTCAAAGTCCTTGCTAGACAATATACACAACCTTCTAGAATGGAATATATATATTCTCCCAGCTTGACTGCTATACACTATTGGGGATGTGGAGGGCATATATTTGCATACCTGGTAGCCCAGTCCATTACTTAGGCCTTAATGGGAGAACTTGTATCTGCAAGCACACAATCTTTTCAACAACTGGACCCTAACCCTTGGGTGCCATTTCTGAACAAAGGAGTATTGGCAAGAATCTTGCCCTAGATCCACACATAAGCTAATCTTTCTGGTTTGTGCAAGTGTATGTTTATTCCAAATGATTGGAAAGCTCCACATCCCATCTCAAGCCCAAATAGATGGAAAAATGTGGTATGTAATTGGGGTTGGAAATTAAAAAATAAAAAATTTAAAAAAAAATAAAAACACCTTTGGGCAGCAATATCCATTTTACAGGGACATGGAATAAACCCTTCACCTTTTGAAAAAAAATGAATTCAAGACACAAATAAGGAATTAAGAATTTAATTGATGTAATAATGACACCTATCTCATTCACATGTCATTGCACAAATGATAGAGCAGGCAATCATTTCATAATTCCTTTCGAGATCAGCATGAAATATTAAATCTGTATCCACAGCATTGGTAAACCCATTATCAGATGCTGATGTAGATAAAAAACCATTTGCCGTTTGTTGCATTTCACACAAAATCATAAAAACCATGTAAAAATAGGTATGTAACTCAGATGGGTTATTAAAATAAACCCAGTTGCTCACATATGAGCATTTGCAACTGAATATTAACATTTTTATATCCAGATGGTCTTCCGTGCAAGCACAGCGTTTAATGCAGTCAGGCACAGGGTCTAGGATATGCTCCAAAAGCTATAATAATGGCATACCGCAGGCTGGGCATCATGGAGGATGTAGTTCATGCTGCTACAGCTGCAGTAGAAAAGGTTAGCCATCACTTAGCTATTAGATATGTCTACCTGCTGCTATCACTGGTCACGCATATCAGTTACACTTATATTCTCTGCAGTTATTCTAAAGAATCTGTCACATTCTAGAGGCTTGACCCTCTGGGTGATACATAGACAATAATTAAGGCGCCACTATTAGAATGAAGTTATTATGACCAATATACTTCAAGTAAATTAATGTATGAACGAGTGACCATTTTAACCCATTATCAGAGACCTGCAGGTTATAAAACATGTCAACAGGGTCCCAGTTTAAAAAAATCCTGGTATGAAAACCCTGCATGCATTCAACAAGTTAAAATGTCCATTCCCCATAGGACTACTTTCTGTAACAGCATAATCCTTCTCTGGTTGAGTGAGAACTCTGGCTCATTGCATAGCCCTCCAGAATAGGCCGTATAAATTATCAACTTCCTAGATGCAAAATTGCATCAACTTTGGCTTAAATCATGCACCAGTAACTAGTTACAGTCACTTTAAATAGCACATGTGAGGATTTTACATTTCATGCAGAGGATATGACTCCAAAAAGTCAATTATTTCCTTGCTCTGCACACCGAGCGAGACGACTGCTCAGAATAAATAAATTCCCCGTCGGAGGACAGCTTCACTACAATAAATATAAATATTGCATTTTCAACTTCGGCCTGTTCTTTGTATGGATTCGGAATGTAAAGTCAGTTGTAAGAGGGAGCGGATGTTACATGGCAACAGCTTGAAGCTCTGCAGGTTTTAGCATTCGTTTGGCGGCAATAATTGTATTCTTCATCAGCATGGCAACAGTCATGGGACCAACTCCTCCTGGGACTGGTGTGATGTAACTGGCTTTCTTCCTTACACCTAATTCAAGGAAAACAGACCTGTTATTACAACCATAACAAAAAGTGATGTCATGAGAAATAAACACTGACTTTCACAACACAAGTAGAAAGTGAAAAAAATAAATTTTAATTAGTATAAGGTTAAGCTGCATGAAGAGCTTGATGTGTGCCTGAATCTCACACCAAAGGCATAGCTGCAAAGGCACACAAAATGTGATGCATGCAGCTGAAATGCAGAAAGCACAGGTGAGCAGCAATAAAGCAAATTTAAAATAATGTGTAATTTAATCAATACATTTCCAGTTTATATATTGAAATTGCTTTTCTGAAGGGCCATGGTCTCAAATATGACCACCTGTACAGGCTGGATGAACAATGCAACATTCCATATCACAGATATACAGGACATGAAACATAAGGACATTCTAAAAGCATATTTATTACTTATCCGGATTCTCTGTTCATTATTTACACTATCTGTTCTCCTACCTTCAAAATCAACATCTCCAACAAGTTTAGGTTTTCCGGTCACAGGGTCCTGCACTCTGTTTATTCCAACATCAATAACAGCAGCGCCCTCCTTAATCATATCAGCTGTAATAAGATTGGGGATTCCTGGGAAGGAAGAAGGACATTTAGTATACCCATTATAGGTCAAAATAACTAAATCAAATAAGTTAAAAGCTCATGTTAAGGAACTCTTCATGCATTGGAATTATATGTTGAAATATATAAAAAAAATAAAAAAATCAAAGACTATAAAACCTATTACGTTTTAATTAATCACCAAAACATACGCTATATTTATATAAATGAATAGGATATATTTAAGACTGCTATATTACTGAACATCTGTTATATTATTTAAGACTGTTTTTTTCATTTGAAACTGCCAGACAATATCAGTTTCTCCTTCTCTACTGTGAAGGGCTATGGATACATCTACTTGTAAACTAGCTTAGTGCTTCTATATAACTATTGTGTTGAGTAACTTACCTGCAGCAGCAACCACAATATCAGCTAGCCTAGTGTGCATTTTCAGTTGTTCTTTAGGGGTGTACCGGTGAGAGATCGTTACTGTGGCATCACCTGAAATGTAAGAACAAACGGTAAAAACTGTTCTCAATCGGATTTTAAAAAAAGGACAGTCCAGTATGGAGTTCTCTGCATGGTATACATTAAATGTAAAACAAAACTGTAGAAGTTTCTGTATCTTTTGCATATCTATCCCTGATAAGTATGCTATGGCTTGCAAATGCAAGTAACTTAAGAACAGGCTAGTAGTACAGGGTGTCAAGTTTTACACCATAGCAATATGGCTTATTTAATAAGTTATGATTTGTGGAAGTTTTAGTTCAATTGCCAGTATTCTACTGTAAAAGCCAACAGCTGATCCACAGAGGTACAAAGGCATGATAGCAGGTGGGCCTGGATTACTAGAGAAGATAGGAAAACACTGCAGGTTGGGATTATAGAGCAAGACTAGTTATTTACTAAACAATCTTAGCAGAACTAACCAAACACATTCCTGGCTGCCTGGAGTAATCCTAGATATATGCCACACACACACAAAAAAATTTTTCCCTCAAAATCAGACTACAAAAAAATAAAAAATAAAAATAAAAAAAAATAAACCAAACACATGCATATAATGAATTATGGATTTATGTTGTCCTTCAAATGTGCATTCAGAACGGTAATACACCAAGGGTTGATCTATATTAATTTTTAAGTAACAGAATCACCCATATCATTCATAAAACATTTAGGAAAAGATGTCAATTTTTTTTCAAATTGTGAAATTAAGAAAGATTCCAATCCCATACAGAATGTCCACCAACAGAAAGTGCGACCTATGTAATTTGAAAGGGACTTGCTTCTTTTCTAGTTCTACAGAAATGGTGTTTTACGCTTCCATTTTTGCCTCAAGATCCTGGAAAAGCATTATGAGAGGAGTAGTAGAAATAGTACAACAGCTGGGATGGATCTCTATTCGACCAAAATGGTCAACCATCAAATCCATGGAAGTGAACGGCTGACAATGTAAATGTAGACAACACTAGGGAGAAGCACTCACCTCCAGGACGCTCGTGTCTGCCATCTGTATGGAGCAGCATAGCAATGGGCATCCCCACATTTTTGGATCTCCCAGCTACCACCACATTTTTGCCCAGAGTGGGGATTCCTGTTTTGAGAAAGAAATAAAAATAAACATTATGGTCAGTCTTATTATTGGCAACATTATCTTTATGCTATACAGCTCCCGCAACATAATATATCTATGTTTCTTTCCATATGGGAGGTCTGCAAGTATTTAAAAGTTCATTCAACTCTTCACTTTATGGTATGCCAAGGTATTAGAAGCCCTGTGTTGGCTACTTTTCACTCTTAAGCCCAAGCAAATAAAATATAACAAGGAGAATTGACTGTCCTACTGCCATATCGTGATGCATTTGTCCAGCTATTCCAATTTCACAAAACAATTCCACAAAACAAATATCCTTAAAGATTTGACTATAAACTGTTGAAAGACCCACATGTAGACTTCAGTTAGTCAAGTTGTTTAGAATGAATAGATCTTTTTAAAGCAGCATGGTTAAGTAAACATTGGACAGTCTGGGGAACATGGGCAATAAAGTAAAAGGTATACACCAGACATTCTCTCTCAGAAAATGTAGGTATTTTTTAAATGCATATTACAAGTTCGACAGGTATATTTCTAAATCTGTAAAAGAACCTTTACTTCTCAACCAGTATCTGACCTTTTGTCGAGAGACTGTACTGTGCGTACAAACATATGCTCTTTACTGTGCAGCCTGTATCCCCACAGAAATCAGAGTCACTTGCACATGTCCATTATAGACTATATATATTATATACACACACACACACACATACATATACACACACACACATACATATACACACACACACATACATACATATACACACACATATACATACA